GCTGAGAGCGCACGTGACCGACGGCTATACGCGAGGTTGGTTTCTTTTTTTACATTCACGCTGCTTTTTTTTATTCCCAACAAGTATTTACATTCAAATGTAATTTTAGCTTGTACTTCAGATTTCAGTAAGTCGCAAAGTTAAGTTCACAGACCTCATTCACAGTCCTTTTGTCAAATCTATGTTGTACTATAGTGCAGACGCTTCCACCCTACGCTTATATATTATGCCGACGTCAGTTTTCGCAGGAATATTTTGCAGTAGAAATTTTCAGGGCCACTTGTGGCTGCTGGAAACTAGCCAAATGCGTAGAAGCACTACAAATGGTGGTTTTTTAAAATTATTCGGCAGATTGATTGATTGATGATTGATTTACATGTTGGGTTTAACGTCCCAAAACAACCATATGATTACGAGAGACGCCTTAGTGGAGGGCTCCGGAAATTTTGACCACCTGTGGTTCTTTAACGTGCACCCAAATCTGAGCACACGCGCCTACAACATTTTAGCCTCCACCAGAAAAGCACCGTCCCAGCCGGGATTCGATCCCGCGACCTGCGGGTCAGCAGCCGAGTACCTTAGCCACTAGACCACCACGGAGGGACAAAATTTTCCGCAGATTCAGCTCTATTTACTTTGAAGCTCAAAGAAAGCAACAATCAACAAACGAAGGTGCGTCAAGTTGAGATACTATCTCTCAAACAATGCTGCATCCAATCGTTCACAACTTGAAGGATGCACAGTATTATGAGCATTTACCGTATTTCCGTCATACTTTGTCCTGCGGCGCCGAAGGACGGATACTCGGTCGAACTCCAATCAATTGCTCAACGAAGGCCATTCGAACTGCCAATTGAGATGTTGTAACTAATTCATTGTGATAGGGCGGCCGCTAGTAGGGTAGGGTGTGCACCACTATCGAGAATTATCTATAGGCCGAAGCATACCGCATTCCTTTGACTTTGCTCCTCGAAAAATGCAAATGCAGCCTGAAAGGATTACACCGCAGCAAAGCGGATGAGAGAGGTTTCAACAAGAAATCAAAAGAAAGGCAACTGAAAGCAAACCAACGGAAAGAATTTAGAGTGGATAATGCAGAATAGCGATCACTGGACCTTGAATTGAAAGTCCATGGAGAAGACTTAAGCTTGTGCTACAGATATCGGTACAACAAAACAAAGCAAAAAAATGCAACACAAACCATGCCCCACTTTAGCAGTGACCCTGCCCGTTGTGCCGTCCTACCTAATGATATGGACCGATACCTTTGTAAGCCAGCTTATCGCCATTCGATGGTCGCTGATTGCTTTTACGTCGATCTAAATCCTCATTCAGAATGCCATAAAACAGGAACTCTGTTCTGGGCAGTCATGCCGTATATAGTTCTTAGCGAGTAGTTCGTATAAAATCCGGAACGCGACACCGAAGTGTACCGTATGCTTTATTATTGTATTTTCTTTGTCGCGGAGAGTGGAGCAGTTTTTAATAGAATCAATGACCTTTGAATACGCATGCCTGTGCGGGGCGACTGCGGTGCACAAAATGTGGCTATACCTGGTTGTAAGAAGAGTTTGACGTGATCCAACGTACGACATATTTCCGTCAATAAAAACAGCACACACAAGGAAGACGTGAACGTGACGACGATGACGACACTTCCAACTGCACACTTCCATGTCAGTTGTAAAAAATCAATTGAAAGTGCACCGCCCATGTCGTCGTGTTCGCGTCTTTTTTTGTTTGGCAAAATGGCTAAATGTCGTATACAATAGGCAATGCAAGCTAGACCAAGAAGTTATCCACAGGTTGACATGATTTGTACGAGCTGACCAATAAGTTTGAAGTCGACTTTCAAGTGCTGTCTTCGCGTATGTGGCCATCAATACTTAACACGTTAGTAAGATATAGTACCGGTGACATCTAAAGGCGCCCGCTACTTGTCATCACCTGAAAAATACCCAAGCCGTTATTAGCAAATAATGTCGACCGATAGCTTCTATGAGTAAGCAGCAACCAAACACCAGTCAGCACCAGCAAACGACGGCACTAATCACTCGGGGCCTGTCACTGCCGTCTTCGAATGTCAGGAGAGGCTTCCTAGTCGAGCTTTGTTTGATATAATGAATCCTCCGGCTTTATGTTTCGTCAAAATAATGATTCCATAGATTTATTTCCTACAACACCAAAAAGAAACTAAGATTTTACTGGTTCTACGGGTGTTTACAGGCGAAGCTAAAAACCACTTCAGAAATCCTGGTTCACTTACACAGAACGCCTGATAGTGAAATTGGATGACAAACTAAGAGAATATATGTCCTAACGTAATGGCGAGTTGCACTAATTGGTGCTCATATTGATCTTACAAAAATAGGTAGACGAGGACAGTAGAATTAGTGCTAAGGCGCCTCTTTCGCTTCATTCATCCCTCTGCGACCCCAATTAAACCATCACACCTCCAGAATTTACTCGCAGAACGCCATAATCTTTTGGTCATCGTCTTGATCCCGCCTTTGAGCAGTCTCCCAGCACTAAACTATCCACACAGTCTTCTTCAGCCGCTGCGAGACATTGCTTCAGGATATGTCTACACGCCTCGAAGACTATCGGACGGAGGTCTTAGCGATGATCTGCAGCTTAGGCCCAGAGGGCTGCAGATAAAACTGCTATTTTCAGATAGGCATGTGGTATCCTTACACCTGCGTGGCCGAAGGGACGGTGAATTTGGTAGACAGGGCGAATGAGGGGGTGTTAATTCTGCTATGTATCAAAGCGGACCTGAGCTGTCCATGCACGCCTTGATAGAGGAAGAAGTAAAAACAATTCATCTTCTTGGTGCCGGAGATTTGCTCGGCTAATCGTTTCGGCAGAAAGGAAAAAATATATACATACTTGTCGCCTGCTGCGTCGTCATGCTGAAATAGGGTCATCGCGTTATAGAGTAGCGCGTGGGAAAAAGTGTTTCGCATGGTGGACCCCCTTGTCCGTTGTAGCGACGTCCACAATTTGCCGCCTTGGTCAGAGAAGTAGCGAAAACGTAAAGTGAAAGTGTCACCTCATAGCTGAGCAAAACCGAAGAGACATGGAATGTAATAGACAGACACTTGATTTCAGCGCTGGAGAGTATAGGTGAACTTGGTAGCCTTCATTAAGGTCGTCATGTGTGGTAACAATTTCAGGTGATGAAAAATTCTTGAACACGGGTTGTCACTGGAGTCAGCATTTCGACAATTCATTTTGTCTTCAAGAAAATGAACAAAGCATATCCAAACTTTGGTTCAACAACTGACATTCTCTTCTTCAAGGCAGGAACAAGACAAGACCCTTTGTCTGAACGCTGGCTCCTGTACCCCGTGTTCAAGTATTTTTTTTTACCTGCTCAAGCCTCTGTGTTCTCCTAAACTTCTGCCTCGTAGCAATCTAAAAGGTGTAACTTCTGAGCGCACCTTTGGAGTGGTGTTAGAATCCCTGGTCTTTTCTGAACATCGAATGTCGCACATAAGGTGAGAAAGAACAAAAAGAAAGTGCTTTGTTTAACTTTCATTGTTGCCCTTATTATAAATACAATATCGAATGGCTATCCATACCAATCGAGTTGCTGCCATTTCAACATAGTTGCTAATATTAATTTGGCTGTTGTCATTATCATCCAGTTGTTACAAATCCGGTCGTTACAAATAAATTCAGTTGCCTTTCAGACCCCGCTATCATCAGTAATTGAGTTGTATTTCCAATCCAGCTGTTATCAATCCATACGTTACGCATACAAATGCAGTTGTTGCCTTCCCGACCCGGCTGTCATTACTAATTCAATTGTATCTTTCATCGAGTTGTTACTAATCCAATCATTACCACAACAAACGCAGTTGTTATCCTTGCAAATCAGTCGTTAGCGTTACTTATCCAGTAGTGACTTTTCAAACTTGACTCTTTTGTGGCTAGATGTGCGCCAACGATCCACTTCAGCTGACTATAGGGATATCTACTTTTGTTCGTTCTTAAGTCAAGTAAACGCATTCTATAGTATTCGCATTTTCATACCTATAAAAAAAACATCTAAACATCTTTTTTCTTGCTGCGACGTCTACAGGACGTATCTAGAGAAACACATTTGGACGGACACCAAAATACCTTCTGCTGGCTGATGCTTGCGCCACTTTCTGGACAAATGCTACGCATTGAGGTTCATTAGCTACAAGTTTTGACAAAAATAGAGACCTTTTCCTACACTGTACATTTTGTGAGCATATAAGGACTGGTGTTTAACCTTTACACTACTCGAAGCTTAAATTATATCTACACTGTTTTACTGTGCTTTTCTTGGTGGAGCAGCATATCTAGGGGCACTGTGTTCGACGAAAAAATACTGGAAATGCACAGGTTGATACATTTGCTTTTTCTTAGGTACACGAACCTGCAAATAGCTTCATGTGCAAGTTTGACACGACCGCGGCGAAGTGCTGTACGGCAAAAGTAATCTTACGTGTTGAGTATATTGGTCCAAAAACATATAAAAATACCGTTCTGTGCAGTAACACTTCGTGTGTTACTTCTCGGTAGTGTGACGTGTACATCACAACTTCACCCACTCTAACTGCTCTTATGAAATCTGAAGAAACACACTGGCACAACTCCGGTAAAGTAATTATATCAAACAATGAATTGTCGGGGAAATGGCGATGTAATCCCGGTTCATGCTTTGACTGGAACAAAACTAGCAGCTATTAAATTGAGGTGAGGTTATTTTAAAGTTGATTTAACTGGTTGGAGTTGTTTTAAAATTGATATGACTGATATATTTATAGACAGCTTGCAGACCACACTGACGTTCATTGAAGAACATTTACTTGTGATTACTTGTAGCTCGAAATAGCATTGTTATTGTAGACTACTTCTATTTCGGAACAAATTTAATGAGAACCAGGTCCAAGATTAACAATCGAACTTGACACATGACTAAGCAGAAGAAAACAAGAAAAAAGGGGAGAAATCAGTAGGTTTACCTTTGGAAGTCGCAGACTATTGCGTGGGGTCCGTACGAAATACACTCCGCTGTAGTTGCTGCGCCAGGCGATGAACACTTTCACTTTAGTGCACCGATAATCAGAAACGTCACACTTTTGCACACCGAGTCGTCTTCGCACTGTATCCGAAGCGACAGAAAAAAAAAAATCCGGTCCGTAGTCACTCACGTACGCCGAGCAGACGAATCCCCGAGCAAAGGCGATTAACGGAAGGCTCGTGTAAGGTGACCACTCCTCTGTCGGTCGTGTGAATCATTTCACCGAAAAATCACAAAAATATAAAAAAACTCATGCAGTAAAAAGAACACTGCATGCGTGAGAGCATATGTACGTCAACAAGTGATAGCAGACGCAAACGTTCAGTCTATCTCATCGAGCACACTGCATATCAGTGGTGTATCTGCTCGCCGCAAGCAGACGACGGTGCACAATCTTCCTACCATAAGACGTACGTGAGCAGCTTCGCTAGCAGGACGAAAAAGTTCAGGGCAATCCGTTCGAGCAGACGGCACGAAAGCCGCCGGCTGTGCAACGCACGAGGACGCTTGAAACACACTTCTGTTCACAGTTCCCACGGAATTCAGCTTAACAGTCGGAAAACACCATGCCAGCCAAGCTTAAACGTGCCTGCAGATGACCCATGCTTCTCGACGCGACCACGCCGAGCGGTCGACTGAACGTTCAGTATATTTTTCTTCAACTCCCCTCTCGCGAGATGCCCGGTAAATAAAATAAAACAACGCCTCGTTTTGGGGGGCTTCCCTCGCCGCGCTGCGTAAGATCGACGGCAACCGGCCTCCGTGCCGGCGAAGAGAATCGGCAAGAAGGCGAGGAGTAAAAGCGAGAGGAAGGATATTCAGAACTGCCACGGGCGGGCGAGAGAAGAGCGTCCACCATCAACCCGTCTCTATACTCCTCGCAAGGGCGACCTCGAGAAGAATCTTTCTCTCTCTCTTTCTTAATGACTGTCTTTCCCTTCTCCGCTACGCGGCAGCACACGACACGCGCATCACCTCGTCTGCTGCCGGTCGACTCGAACTTTCGACCATGTGGGCAGCGTCGTTGTGCCATCCCGTTGTCTTCTTGCCTCGACTTTGGCTCGGCTGACCGACCGCCTTGGTCGCCGTGACCAGTGACTCTCAGCGGGTGTGCTCTTCTTGGCAAGACGTGTTTGTCGAGCTCAGCGGTCTCGCATGAACGGCGCGCTGCCCTGGCGTGGTGAAGCGTCTCCGGACGACGATGACTGCCCGTGCGACGACAGAGTGGTGCACTCGACAGGATGCGGGTCAGCCGCTGACGCCTTGTCATTCTTCGAGAAAGACAGTGATCACGAAGCCGAATAATTGGTGCTTGCATCGGTAGGGAGAAGAAATCGCTCACGGCGGATTTCATTTTTCTTTTATTATAATTATTCAAATGTATCCAAAGGCCGTCGTGGCGAGGGTTTTGCATGGGAGGAGGGCCGCATCTGCGCTGATCACTAATTACACATCGTAAGTAAAAAAAAACACATTAGCCCAAAATAAATGCAGGTATGTGACAGATAACTTTACGAACAAAACTTCAGACGAAAGTACACTATGAATGCACATAACTCCGCAAAACAAGGATCACAAACTCTCTTGTTATAAAATCCATAATAATAAGGTTTGATGGTTAGTCGAGGGTAAATTATATCTCAAAATTTGGTTGTGACGAAAGTAGACCTCTGTATTGTCATGGCATCGAAAGCTCAGTCGCGTTTTCTTCAAGGGTGTAGCCACAAATGTTTTTTTTTGTTTTTTTATGAGAGGGGGAGTTGGTATTAATCAAGCCCTATGTAGGTGAGTGTGTGTGTGTTTGTATGTGATTATGTATACATTAAAATGCGAAGTACAAAAATTTGAGGGGTTCAAATTCTACCCACTCACACCAGGCTACGCCAAGCGTCCGTGAACGCAGCGAACAAAAAGAGAGAGAGAGAGATAAATAGAGAGGAAAGGCAGGGAGGTTAACCAAGCTTGGCTCGGTTGGCTACCCTACACTTGGGGTGGGGGAAAGGGTGAATAATAGAAAGGAAATAGATAGAAAAAAAGAGGAGTAAGAAAGAGAGGGATCAATAAGCTGCCGCCAATGATTACGTCCTGGCTATTGCACGCATTCACTTATTTAATGATATTATTACAATAGCTCAGATTTCTACCCTGCCAATGTGGCGCAGGAAGTGTAGTACATTCGTCACCTGAGTACCAAATAGTGAAGCTTTCTGAATAAGAAAAAAAAAACTTAGTTAAAACTAGTGCTATCCCTACACCCTGCAATGTGTTTTATTTTTTTACAAAACATCGAGTAGTCTGAGAGCAAATTCATTAAACAGGGTGGCACATAGTCTGCCGCACTACTTGTGCTGGTGAGGTGACTCTTACAAAGCATCAAAACGGTACTAGAGCAGACCGTGTAAATTTCCATTACGAAATGAATGTTCAACATATTTCACCTACTAGCATGCTTTCTTTCTAAAGCTTGACAAGCCATAACGCTTTGGTTCACAACTGACATCATTCAACGCAGCTATAATGCAAGGGAACTGCAGCAGTGAGTCCACACAATGAATTCCATATACCCTTGAGAAAAAAACAGATCTTTAAATGCCTTTGGTTGTGTGCCACGCTGAAATTCATCGAACATTCCGTGAAATGTACGACATTCTAGTAAAAAGCACAGACACAAAAGAGGAACTAAAGCGACGACAAGGATAGTACTCTGACTTACGTTCCGCTATCCAACGGGGTCCCCTTGCGCAATGGACTACCCTTAGCTAGTAGTTGAGCAGACAAACTTGCCGCCACAGTTCAGAGTGGTATATTAATAGATACGCTTATCATGACGCATCGAAGAATTGACGAATAGAATGATTGATCGATTCATTCATTCATTCTTTAAACTGTGGTATATAGTTTGCTCAACGACTGGCTAAAGGTAGCCGCATGGCTACCTAAAGGTAGACATGGCTAAAGGTAGACGCAAAGGATGCCGCATGGATAGCTGAAGATAAGTTGAAGTGCCACCCACGCCGTCGTGCTTGTTTCTCTCTTGTGTGTGGGGTTTTTACTAGCCGAAGAATGTCATAGAGTAAGCAATACAAACTATGCCAAAAAGAAACTCTTTTCAAGTAAATTCAGAGAAATGGCTCAATGAGTATGTAGAGTACTAGTTTACCAAAATTTCTGCCGAATTATTTTTAATGACACAAATAGCAACAAATGTTAATCTTCTGATATATTAAACAGAGGGGTACTTTGAGCGATGCATGGCGCGAAGCAAAAAACTGGACAGGACTCCAAGATCTGGCATCCTATACTGTCTTATGCTTGTTCACAAAAGCATGGAACCTCATCGGATTGACCGACAATGCGGAATGCGACGTCTGCTGCGCCAAAGAACACATGGACCATCTGATATGCCATTGCCCTCGATTTGCCTCCAAAAGACAGAAGCTTTCGGACGCATTGCGACAATTGGACGATCGGCCACTCTCTATGCAGATGCTACTGGAACACCGTCCTCGCCTTTCGTCGGCTCAGAAAGTAGTCAAAGCTGTCTTGTGCTTTTTGAGGACTACAGGCCTACGTGACAACCTTTAACTTTTGTGAAGTGCCACCGCTGCATACGCGCCAGCCGATTGACTGACAATCCTCCTTTTTTTTCTCTTTCTCTTCTCTTTCCCCTCTCTCTCTTCCTTATGCCCCTTCCCATTCCCCCAGCGTAGGGTAGCAAACCAGGCATGTGCCTGGTTAACCTCCCTGCCTTCTCTCTTGGTCATCCCCCATTCCTCCCTTTTTAACTATAAGAAATCAGTCATTAAGGCACTGACTGATTGGTTCATTCATTCATTAAACTGTTGTATCTAAGAGGCTCACAAGCCTCCTGGAACAAGTCGCAGCTCTTTGCCCACATAGCCGCCACCATAACATCCGCTAACGGACCGACCACCACAACATGACAGCCGTGATAGCAGTACCCCATAGAATTCGATATGAGATCCTACATCGCAAGAAGAGCTGCCAGCACAACCTGTTACACCGTTTAAGAAGCGAGCTGCGAGGCACGACTCTCTGTCTGCCGTCTGCGTTCGTTTGACAGCAGACGACACACATCCATTGCCCTTCCCTTCTGCCATCACGCCGAGCGCGCGCTGCGCCACCGCAGACATACATGTACGTCTCGGCAACGGCTTCTCGGGTCTCCGTTACGTCGATTGAAACTTCTTGTGCGAGTGAGCGACGGCTCATTTGCATTTTCTTCGAACCGTGTAACGAAGCCTAGAATAAGTACATGGTCAGGAGGGCGATCTCCATAACGGCAAGGGCAAACAGACGGCCGTCTCTTCTGTGAGTCACGTGGGCGCGTCGTCTGCTTAAAACGACCCGTGCAGAAGATGTCGCCGATAGTTTACGAGACGTCATTTTTTTGCCTACACGCTTAGCGAAAGTCCTTTGCAGACGAGGTCGGTGATGGATTATAGGACGTCCCGAGCTCATTCGCTTTCTTTGGTACAAGGGGTAGGTCGCCGTGAAGACGAACGTCCAGAAGTAACGTATGTGTGTATACACCCGAAAAAGAGAAAGACTTAGCTCGTCCACACAATCCGCAAGAGGGAAGCGCATGCAGTCCACCCGTGACTAAACAGACGACAGAAATGGTCTTTGCTGCCCCTCCTTCTGCGTGTTCTGCGCAATTATACCTACTCATTAGTCTACTGAACGTGAAAGGAAACGGTTCCATCGAACAGACAGGATAAAAGTTTCACTTTTGCTGCCCTTACTTGAAAGGGTATTGATACCATTTTTGAAGCTGACTTCACTCTGCCACAGAAATATACTGTATAAAAAACAAAACCATACGAGGGCCAAATTTCTGATGCCGAGCCGGGGTGCGTAACAAACCTTCCTAAGCCCTACCGCTGAGTCGGCTTCACCTACGAACAGAAACTGCATGCGGGAAACCAGACTTCAGGGAAGTCTTCTTCCCGCCGAAGTTTGCGAAGGGCACAGAACTGCACGTATGTGCATACCGGGACTTGTGTTGGCTTGAAAATCGCTCCAGACCCAATTTAGCTTAGCCGTTGCTGAGTCGGCCTACCCTGTCGTTTGAGATAAACCGTTCAGCTACATGGACGTCCCCTTGCTTCGCCATATGTTACGACTTTCATACAAAAATGAAACAGAAGTTATTATGCACTATCAGATAATTCTTCAAGTACTACTCATGGTAGGTTTGTTAGCACTCCCGCGTTAAATTTTACGACGGCAGAGTTTTTTTTTTTTTTTTCAGAACAGTATTCGACTACCCTATGGTTCAATGCGTTAATTCTTCGGAAACTCAATGTTCGCGAGCCGCTGAGCAACGTGATTTTCATTCTTGCGGCACATCTGCAAACTTGAGGATTATCACTGATCAAACTGTCTGCCTAGTCAGGGATGTACCGGTTTAATTTCTCTCATTCATTACCAATCAATAGCAAAGCGCTCGTGATATACAGCTCTGTGTTCTTATATACGGAATTATGCGTTAGTTATACTGTGGTAAGAACGATGTATAAATGTGTGCGTGTGGATGCGTTATTGCAGTGTGCATTTCTGTTAGCAAACTG